ACATTTTATGAATTTTTATATTAAAATAAATTTACAAGGAGTTGCAACTTACTGAGTTGCAACTTCTTAATTATGGTATCCATCTTTAGTGAGAAACATATTTGATTTAAACATTCCAATATTTTATACTTTATTTATACTTTAATTCAAATTTAACTTATTTTAAGCATAATATCGAAAGTTCTATCTACAAAATCAGGTCAAATCTTTTGACTATTTCAATGATTATTGTATCGAATCTGTGGAAATTAATATTAAAAAGTGTGTAAAATATGTTTCTCGAGCATGAAATAATGTAATACAAGAGACAATTCAAAATCATTGGTTGAAAGCAGATATTCTGGCCAATGACGATAATAATAATGACAAAGATGAAACCTCCACCAATATACAACTTGAACTTAAATGACTAAGGAATTAGAAGAAGTTCAAGTTTTAATTGATAAACTTATTTTTACGATCCTTTAACTACCGAAGAATTTGTTCAATTTGATAAGTCTGAGACTACAAAAGAAATGATATTTAACAAAGAAATTATAACAGCAGTTTTACCTAATAAACAAGATTAAGAAAATGAAGGAGAAGAGGATCCTTTACCGATAATTACTCATAATGAAGCTATTGAAGTTTATGATAAAGTAATTTTAAATTTGGAACAACAGAAGAAAATTTTTAATCTGAACAATGAAGAATTAAAGCTTATTAAAAAGCTTAAAATAGAAGCTTTGAAAAACCAGTTTATTTCAGCAAGACAAACCAATCTTAATAAATTTGTTACTATAATTAAATAATAATAGTAATTTTTTTTAACGTAACAATATTAATAATAATTTGTGATCATTTTTTTATTTTAACATAATAATGTTAATAATAATTGTTTTTTTTAACACAAAAACATTAATAATTTGAGAGGTATTTTTTTACATAATAAATGTAATGATATAATAAAATGGTATCATTAGAACACAAATTTAATGTATTAACTAAATAACACCCCTGCGATAGTGTTAAAATTGTGTTGAAAAATTCATATCATTTTTTATAATTTTTAACCAATTTGTAATGAATTTTGTTAAATTTGTATTGAAATTTCTATTGTTTTTTACCAAATTATGGCGTTGTTTTTTTATAATAATTTATATTTATCACCACGTGATGAATTATTATTGTCTCTAATTATATGATCTATCATATTAAAAAGTTCGTTTAAGTTATATTTGTGTTGATCTAATTTTATAAATAATATAACAGTTGAATTATATTTGGAATCTGAATTAGAATTTTGAACACAAAGAGTTTGAGCATTTCGATTGTGAGTTTATTGTATTATTTAAAATATCAAATTAGAATTTCAATTCAATAATAAAGAGATTTTTCACGAGATATCAAATCAGAATTTCGATTCAATAATAAAGAAATTTTTTCATGAGATATCAAATCAGAATTTCGATTCAATAATAAAGAAATTTATTTTTAAAGGAAAGTATTTACCATCATTTAATTTTCCCTTTTGAAACTTTTAAAAACATAATCGCTTATTAATTCAAATTAATCAACATAATATTTTAATATTTTTAATATTTTACAAATCATCATAAAAATAGCTATCGCAAGAATCGTTTGAAAAGATGCAGAGACTAATAGTGGATAGATATGTAACCATTTTTTTGTTAATTACTTGGTTGAAAAAAGAAGAAAAGAGAAAATGCAACCATAAATATCATTATTTTTTTTGTAGAAATAAATTGAGATTTTGGCAAAGCGTTATGAGAAGAATAAATCGATAATATAATGATGATTATTCTTCTTGCTAATGCAAACAGAAGTGGAGAAATCTGGTGAGGGATTATAGAATAAGTAAATAAATAAATAATAATATGTTGATAAATATAACTTAATAAATAATTAATATATATTCTTTAGGACTTTTGTGATTGGCATAATGGTATGAGAAAAAAGGGAAGGAAGATGGTCATATAATGGGAAACAATTTTATGATCTATTCTGAACTAGATTTTGGAATAAGCCAGGTAATTATTCAAAATGTTTAATTGATAGTTCTTAATAAAATTTTAGGAATTTTAAATTTATATTAAATATCTTTTACATTTTTTAGTTACAAGGTATCATCGAAGAAGAGCCTGTAACATACTGACTGTAAAGCAATAGTTGGAAGTGAGGAAGTAAAAGGTTTAATTTTTTTGTTTTTTATCGAGGTTTTAATTTTAATTTTTATTTTTATCATGGGTTTTTATTTTTTTTATTTTTTTTTTTACTGGAAGTGGGATTTTCATTTTGTGGCGTTTATTTTTTTATTGTATTTTTTTATTTTTTTTTTAATTTTTTATTTTTTGTTTATTTTTTCATATAAATAAATAATATTAATTAATTGTATTTTGAACTATCATTAATAAATTTTCTTACTTTTTTCTTTTGTTTAATGAAGAGATCTCAAATTTTTTAAAAATAAATTTATATTTATCATTATAAATTGTTTTATTTAAGATTAATTTCAATTTTTGCATTACCAAAATTGCTTCAAGATCACTTTAACTTTAACCACAAAGAGGTTATTTTATAAAATGTCATCATAAAATTAACTTTAATTATATCATAGTAAATTATGTTTGTATTTTCCTTTTTCAGTAATCATTTATTATACTGAATAATTTGTTATACTATACTAAATAATTTTTTATAGTAATAACAAATTTTCTTATAATAAAGGGCTAATCAGCTTAGACGCTAACTTCATTATATTGAGATGTGACTGTATAATCCAATAAATGAATTCATTTTTGATAACTAAAAATATGCGTAATATATTATATAAATTCTAGTAAAATGAATATAATATATATATAATATATAATTATTTATTATTATTTATACCAATACATTTTCTATAAAAAATTTAAAATCCTTTGAACTTTTTGAATTCCATAAGCTAAAAATCTATTAATACAAAGTGATCCTTCAATTTTAAACCTCGGATTACATATAAAATATGTTGATTTTTTTGCTTGATTTCCAATAATATTTCAACCAAATCTTCAAGATAATGTTCTTCTATTATATGCTAATTCATTTATAATGACTAGTTGATTAGCTATATTTGTAATAAAAAACCTACTCTTTCTATTCATTTCTTTCTTTGTAGGTTTTGATAATTATAAATAAAATTAAAATTTTAACTTATTATACTAATAGATAATATAATATTACATACTTATTTGTGAGTATATTTAAGATAATGTACTGATGTCAAATTATAGAAATATTAATTTTATATCCTAACCATAATTCTATTTTATTTTGAATTTTTCAAATATACCAATCTATTTTTTCTTTTAAAAGAAAATCAAGGTATTCTATATTATTTAAAGATAATAAATGTGATCCTTTACATAAAGAATGTAATGACTCAACAAATCTAAAACTTTGAAATGATTTATTATATTAGATACAAATCTCTTATTTATGCATAAATGTTTATATATTTTTCAATAAGAATTTCTGACTAACCATTTTTTTATAACTTTCTATTGAAAATATATTGTTGTTTTTAATTTTGTTATGTAAAATAAAATAAAAAATAAAATTTATATCAGTTCGTAATAAATATTTATATATTGTTATTTATTATTATTTATACTATACAAATTATAATATATGAAATGTCAAAATTCAGATATTAAAAATCAATTTTTAGAGAATGGTCAGTGAATTATAAAATTTGCTATAAAAGAGTGATTTAAGCATTTTGATCAAATTAAGTTAATTTTTATTATATATATATAATTATTTAATAGGTTCAAAAATATGTGACTATAAATTTTTATTATAATTAGATTAATATTTATAAAGTTACGCACATTTTTTGTAATTGTATTATCTCACAGAATTTTTTTATTTTTATTATTTATCTGTACAATGAATTTAAAGAGCAATTTAAGCATTTTATCAAAAGAAATCAATTTTGATCATATAAGTAAAGTTATTTAGCAGGTTCAAAAATATATACATATTATGATTAGATTAATAATTGTATAATTATACATATTTTTCATAATTGTATTATCTTATAAATATTTTTTTATTTTATTTTTTATCTGTACAGTGATTTCAAAGAACAATTAAAGTATTTTGATCAAAGGAAACTAACTTTAGTTATATAAGTAAATTTTTTTAGTAGATTCATAAATATATATATAAATATTTATTATGATTGGATTAATATTGTAAAGTTATACCCATTTTTCATGATTGTATTATCTTACAAATTTTTTTTTATTTTTATTTTTTTTATCTATACAATGACTTTAATGAACAATTTAAGCATTTTGGTCAAAGGAAATTTACTTTAATTGCATAAATCAGATTCAAAAATATATGCATATAAATTTTATTATAATTGGATTAATAGTTATAAAGTTGTGAACATTTTTCATAAATGTATTAGCAGTCATTTGATTTGCAAACATCATATTCTGCAATTAATAAATAATAGGAATTTTAAAAAAAATATTATTATATTAGTAATCTTTGATTCGATGTAATTGATAACTTTATCATTAACCCTAGTATTCAGTTTTTCTAAGGAAGAATAGATGCTTGAGATTCAATAGATGCATTTACCTCAACCTCTAAAGACTAGCTTAATTGTGTCTATCTCAACTCCATTTTTCCCAATAACATGACATACTTCCTTTCTTTAAGGGTTTTCTTGCACAAATTAAATTGTGTAATATTAGAAAGAAAGCCTTTTTTTTTTAATTTATCTTCAAATGTTGCGCCATTTTAAAATTAAAATTGTAATTATTACAATTAATTGTCCAATGATAAATTGGTAGATACATATGACTTGGAATTAAAGAAAATCATTTTTTATTTAATTTAACTAATATGTTTTTGATATCACTGAATGGTTTTAAAAAAATTTCCACACACTTTTTTTTAAATTAATAGGCTAAGCTTAAAAGATAAATCACAAAAATCACCAAACTTCTTGTTGATATCTTTTAGTCTTTTCAATCATAAGCATATATTTTTCAGCCTGCTCATTAGTCATTTCACCTTCAGATATTAATATAGATTTAAATGCCTCTATAACATCATTAGGCATTTTATCAGCTCTCCTGTACCATTAAATGAAATAACATAGATCAAAAAATATATTCAGTTTTTTTTTTAAAAAAAAAGGAGTTCTGAAAAATCACTCACCCTGATATATAAACATACCCTTCTCGATTATATAGAATATCATAAACTAACTTTGCATTTCCTTTCAAAACATGTTGAACATACCGTTTGTTATCCTTAAATGAATGAATGTTAATAATCAATTGTTATAAAGTAAACTTAATATAAAATTCCCCTTACTTGATCTCGAGAAAAGGCTACAAATAATTTTAATTTTCCTTCATTAACATAACGATCCCATTGTTCTTGATAATAAAAATCTTTATCACGATTCCTACAACCAAAAAACAAATAGTTTTCTACATAAAAGAAGTAATTAATAATTTAATTCATCAAAGTATGAATATACCAAATTTTAGAAATATATATACCCGTTGCGCCTTCATATATCCGATCTTCTAAGAAAGCTCGCATAACAGAAACTCCAGTTCCTAAAAAAAACTACTCTGTAAATTTATGCTTTTTTTTGAAATTTTGAAATTTGAAGAAAAGTAATAAAAATATTACAGACCTGGTCCGATAAAAATAACAGGAATGGATATCGAAGTAGGTAGCCGCATAGTTCCTTTCGTAATTATAACAGGGATTTCACATTCCCCTATAAATTCAATATAAATCCATAAGTTACATAAACAATGTATAAGATATTATTGTAGTGATTGGTTTACCTGGTTTTAAACTAGACATCCAATTAGTACATACCCCTCTACGAGGTTTTTGTAATCTAGTTTTGTATTGAACTATTGCTACAGTTAAATGGATTTGACCTGGATGAACTTTTGAAGATGATGATATTGAAAATTGCCTTGGTTGTAATTCGGGAAACATATCAGGTATATATTCTAATTGAATTTTAGCTGATGGAAAATCTTGAAAAACTTCTACTATCGTGCGTCTAACACGTTGATTATACGCGTATAAATCATCCTAATTACATTTTAAAATAAAAATATTTTAAACTAATAGAATTACTAAAAATGTAAATCAAGTAACGTACTTGGCCTTCTGCAGAACAAAATTCCCTTAATTTTTCAGTATGATTCTCATCGGTAGTAAAAAACGATAAGAATTCGAAGAATGAACGACGAGGTGTACTAAAAATATCCAAATAATTTTCAAACAATTTTCTTAGGGTAAGTATTGAATCCCAGTGTGAAGGTACTTTTCGGTCTGTAATGAAAAATATTATTAAGCAGAGTTGTATAAATAAAAAACATTGAATCATTCTTGTATTGAACATTCGTATTACAGTACCTTCATCATCGTTAGGAACAAGAACAAACGCATTATCTGCAATTTCTTCCCAATCCATCATTTTAATAAATTCATCCACTTCCTCAGACAAATTTTTTGGGCGAACAACTAAGACATCACCAGGATCATATCTATTATAAATAGTCGTATGAATAACAATATTATCTAAGAAAATATTTGTTCTGTTTATCTGAACTCACTTAAAATCAGAATCATTGATATTAAATTCCATATGACGAACATCTTGAAAATGTTCATGTGAAGTAACACGTTCGTTTTTAGTTAAATATGAATACATATCATGACGGCTCAAGTTCTCATCATCCAGGTCAAGTTTACGATCAATAAATTCAATGCGAAAACTCGGGGCTGGTGTAAAGGATTTGGTTAAGAACTGTATATTTTAAATGTCAAGTATTCCTTGAATATAATTTTTTTTGGTTTTGAAAATGAAGGATATAAAACATCTTCGGGCAAAATGTCGAGACTGGATGGTAATGGATACATATACATTAAAACCTTCCATAATTCTTCTAGCCATGGATCAAGTCCCCCATCTATACTATTATCATAATATAAGAACAATCACATTGTAATAATATTGATTAAATAACAGTTTATAATATTTTTTTTTGCAATTCACAGCCTAACTAACCCAAGATAATGTTGATCATCTCCATCTCCGCGTGGGAGTATACTTTGTGCACCTAACTGTAAGAGACGTTTATAAAGCTTTTTTGCAGGCCAATTGTACCTTCAGCAAAAATATTATTAATAAACGCGCATTTACATATTAATTGTGCCTTTAAAACGTACCTCAAATATGAGGAATCACCAAGACCAAAAACCGAAAATTTCATTTGATTCAAAATGTCATTTGGCAAGTTTTTCCTTAATAAATATTTCCAGAATTTCTATACAAATCAAATATATGTGTACGGAATTCAATGCGTTTTTCAAAATATTATTTGCTTTCCAATATCAATTCGACATACTCTCATATTATCAGGTTCATCGCCTTGTCCAGTCGTTGAACAAACGAAAATTACTAAATTTTCATTTATCAAATTATCCTAAGAAAAAAATTTTATTTAGATTTTATGCACTACCGCTCTGATCATAACTTCTAGAACTACAAAATTTACCCGATCATAAGCGTCCATTGAATAAATCCTAGTTTTGAAACGACGTCTTTTTGCTTGCCTTGATATCCTTTCAGCAACATCTTGAGCACAACCAGTTTGGCTACCATAAAGAATGAGGATTTGTCGTTCAGATATACTAGAAGGGTTATCATTAATATCAGCAATGGACAATTTTTCTACAAGTAATTCTTCGAGATTGAGCATTTCAGTTCTCAAAATTTATTTTTACCGCAGTATGATTCTTATCCCGATTTGAAAATCATTTTATATTACTGTCACTATTGCCGTTGTTTCTATACTTTTATTTTTTTATTTTTTTTTTCCTCCTATATTTAATTTTTCAAAATGAATAGTAAGCTGGAATCGCACCTTTTTCAATTGAAAGTAAGAATACTTTAGAATTTCGACATGTATACATTCTATGTAAAGTCTTAATGGAGTTTCATTTAAAAGTTTACAGCAAAACAACTAACTCGGCAATCGAAAAAAGCTACCAAAGATGAAAACATAGAAAAAGCAAAATTGAAAAAGGTAAGTAAAGAATGAAAAACTTTAATCTTGGTAGGACAATTTAACAGTATTTTTTTTCTTTTTTAGGCAATTCAACAACAGAATACAGAAGGAGCACGGATATATGCTTCAAATGCTATACGCAAAAAGAATGAGGCATTAAACCTATTAAGGCTATCTTCAAGGATAGATGCAGTCTCTAGTCGAATTCAAACCGCTGTTACCATGCAAAAGGTAATAATTTTTTTTATTGTAAGACTGTCAAAAATACAAAATGGTAACTTTGAAAATTTTAGGTAACCGGCTCAATGGCAAATGTTGTAAAAGGAATGGATCAAGCAATGGCGAATATGAACTTGGAACAGGTATATAAAGCAATTCAAGTTTACAATATTCATAATGTTATAATAGGGATTTTATCGAATGAATTCAACTTAAAATAGATCTCTGCTGTGATGGATAAATTCGAAGCTCAATTTGAAGATATAGATGTTCAAACACAATATATGGAAGGAGCAATGGGTAATACTACATCATTAAGTACTCCGCAAGAAGAAGTTGATTTATTGATGCAGCAAGTAGCAGATGAGCATGGGTTAGAGTTGAATCACGAGTTGGGTGAAACCGTTCCTAGTGATATTATTAATGTGAAAGATAAAAATAACAAAGAAGATGAGGATCTGTCAGAACGTTTACGTAAGAAATTTTCGTTAATTTGATGATTTTATATGGTAGTTTCATTGGAAATCTAATTGTTTTTTTTATTTTCGTGATTTTAGGCTTGTTGAGACAAACCTAATCAAAGTTTTAAGTAGTAATAAATTAGATATCGTTTTGTCGAAAGTTTTTTAATTGGAAATTTATAGAAATCAGGGACTGGTATCGATATTTTTTTAAAACAAATAAATTATTCTTAGATTATTACAAATATTGTCTAAACCATGGAATTCATATACCGTATTTTATTGAAATGCAATAAAGTGGATGTAAAACAATCTCTTTTTACATGAAGAAACCGATGAATAGTCGAACTTTTACTTATCAATATCTTCAGTAATGTTAGAGATAATTTTATTAATTTATCCATTTGATCAAATTACCAGTCTTATTTATATTATATAGATGTATTTTCCCACCACAAATTCTATTAAATATCAGTCTAACTGGTGTCGGTTTTTATATTCTTACATATGTAGAGGATTTGTCTAAAGTAGTTGTTAAATTATAATAATTCGTAATATCTATATGTTATTGGCAATAATAAAAGCTAATGATCAGTTTATCCGTTAATTGATTTGTATAAAATCATGTGATTTTACATTCTGACATTAATACCCCCCTTGTATTAATCAATCACAAAATGTAAAATTTTTGATTAATACCGGGGTACTAATCAATCAACCAATAAGATCAAATTTATCGTAACTATGTCGATCAATTTGAATATTTTAAGCAAGATTTATTTCCTATCATTATCATCATTGCCTTCATCATTTTTCATTATCATTATTAGGGATGTCTAAAAGTCCCAATAAATTTGCCAGTTCTAGAGAAGATTTTTAATTTACTGGCATTATATTTTACTTTCTAATGATAATTTGTTAATTGAATATAAATTAAAAATATATATTAAACTTATGCGGGAACCCAGAATCTTAATTTTTGAAACTTAGGACCCACCGGGACCCCATGTTAATTGTCGATTCCAAAGTTCATATTTCTTTTATAAGTTATTCATAAAATTTATTATTACAATTATTTATCAAGGGTTACTTATTATAGATAAGCAATCAGACTTTTCTATAACTCATAATTTCAATATTTGTTTACAGTCATTTGGGATCGTTTACATTCCTAAACGATATCAATAAAAATATTCTTATTGTTACTTAATATGTCAATATTATTCAAATAATCATATACCAATTAATATCATTTTATTAAATTTAGTAAAATTAAAATTATTTATTTTATATCAATATGTAATCCCAATTAAAAATATTTTATTAATATGAAATATCCCAATTTATATAATTTATATTAATTTAATACATTTAAATAATTTTAATTATATTTATTACTTTCAATTAATATAATTTATTATTAAATTTATTTATTTTACTTTATAAAAAAATGGTCTGTTACTATAAAAAATAAGAAAATATTAATAAAAATCTAAAAATTATTCTAAAAGATCTTTAAAAATACATTTATTTTATCCAAAAGAAAAAAATTCATTACTATTATAAACGGTGTAGTTGCCATAACCCTTGTTTTACAAATGTATAGCATTTTTGAGTTCGATAAGCTTCAACATAGCTTGTAC